CCATGTGACAAAAAACCACACTCCAAAAAACGCAAAAAAGACATCGCCATTCTCCACGCCATTGTAGACCTCCCCTGAGAACCAGAAGCAACCACAAACCCTTCATCTTCTATAATTTCTATCTCATTTTGCCGGAATCAAAACAACGAACTAAGCATTTTTTTTTCCCTGGTTATCACCTCTTGGAAGATCTCAGATCCCAAGGTATATCTTTTTTTTTTCTTTTCTTTTTTTTTGTTTTTCTATATTCATACTTGATCGCCTGCTGATTCTAGTGTTTCTGCAGTGATTTAAGCAAACTTTGATTAATCAGTTTTCTTCAAGAATTTGCAGTTTGGATTACTGTTACAGTTTTTTTTTTTTTTGGAACTTCTAATTGATTCATTTTCCATGATTGTTTCTTTTTTCTCTTGTGAAGATTGACTTCTTTTCACTAAACATTTATTGTTTAGGTCTTTCCGGAACTGATTTTCATGGATTACATTGCAAATTTGCAATGGATTCATTTGCTATGGCTGTTTTAGTGGTTCCCTATTGAGATTGATTCTCTTTTCAGTAAAAGCTAGTATTTCTGGTTTTTATTTTTTTTTTTATTTTTTATTGTTATTCTCGACTACAGGATGTATTTCCGTGCATCCAAACAAAACCGTAGTATTTTGTTTGTTTTGCTTAGCTACAAGTTGAAAGCAGAAATTGGTGTTTATTATGTGTTCTAAATAAATGTTTTGGAAGTCGTTAACATCCATGTAAGATATCTGGCATTCAATAAGACAAGGTTTAATTGTTTCTGAAAGTTGAATGATGTGTTTTTCATTCCAGATTTGGTTAGCTGTTAATGGAGAGCTTGGCACAGCTGGAGGCATTATGTGAAAGGCTGTATAATTCGCAGGACTCTGCAGAACGTGCTCATGCAGAAAACGCTTTGAAATGCTTCTCTGTGAACACTGAGTACATTTCACAGTGCCAGTACATTCTTGACAATGCATTGACTCCTTATGCCTTGATGCTTGCTAGTTCTAGTCTGTTGAAGCAAGTGACAGATCATAGCCTTGCTTTGACACTTCGTCTTGATATCTGTAATTCTTGGACCTATTGCTTACTGTCTTATTCTCTTCCAAAAATGGATTTTAAATGGATTCCATAACATTTTAAATATACCTCCATAGTTCCATGTCAATGGATGTAATTCTTTTGATTATTATTATTTTTTTAATTATGTTAGGGAGTTATCTGATTAACTATCTGGCCGCAAGAGGACCCAAATTGCAGCCTTTTGTTACTGCATCTTTAATTCAACTCTTATGCCGACTCACAAAGTTTGGGTGGTTTGATGATGATAGATTCCGTGATATTGTTAAAGAGTCCTCAAACTTCTTGAGCCAGGTGACTTGACTTCTGTACAGAATATAGTTTGTTTCAGGCTATGCTTGGCAGGAATTATCATATTTGCAAGGGAAGAACATTTCTCATTCAAAAATAGCTAAGTACAATAGGGTTCAGGCTTGATAATATATAACCAGCATTAGATCAAGCAGATTTGTATTCTTTCATATTTCCATTATTCCTACTGAGCAGATCCTTAGTATCCATATGGCAATATAAAAGGTTTATTTCACATGGTAAGATTCTAGTCTAAATGCTCTGCGCATTCAAAGTTGTTCATTGATATTTCTTTAATTTTAAATCTAAAGTTTGATATCTTCATCAGAGGACCATTTGAGAAAGTTATTGATTGTGATGCTTGAGTATTTTCATTGACCTCTCATATCTTTTAAATGTCAGGTTTCATCTGTAAAGGTAGTCCTTTAAGGCAGTGGCTGTGATATTCCTCGTTTGGTTATTTAGATTTGCTAATTTAATTTATGTGGAGGCTTATGACATCACCCTTTTTGTTCTCCACTGGAGTCAACTTTGATTCTTAAAATGCATTGCTTATAGGCTGTTATTGACTGTTCTCCACTTTCCCTTTATTGCTGACTTCACTTGCTCATTAATGTCTCTTGTTTACAGGGAACATCAGATCATTATGCTATTGGTTTGAAGATTCTGAATCAACTTGTATCTGAAATGAATCAGGTTTGTTTTCAACTTATGTCTCACTTTTTCATTCTTAGGTTCCTTTGAATATTTTATCTGTTCCTGCTTGGCGATGATGTGGTTCTTTCAATACCTTTCATATCGCACATTATGGAAAGGATAAGATCTGCCTGTTGCTACTTGTTTAGAAGATTGATCTTACGTGGGATATGCATTTGACATCCATTTATTTCAGTGGAGCAGTGATCTGTAATTCAGTGAAGATTGATCCATTTATTTCATTGGAAATTGAAGGGCAATTTTAATCACATGAGTTGAGTGTTTAATTGGTGTTTTCTTGGTGCTTTCTTGGTGCATAACCATTATGTGGCTGTACTAATGTATAACTAGGCTTAATGGCTTGTCTTTAGAGTAGGAAAAATCTGGCACTACCTTGTTTGTATCATAACTGAGGTTCACAGTCTGATCTCTAATATCTGGATATTTTAAAACTTTTGTAACATCTGCAAGCATGTTACTTTGAGTTATTCTCTTTACTTGTATGTATTGTGATTGTATTATTGGTTAAAGAAGTTCATTACTGATAGCTTCTTGCACTTTTTTAATGTCTTAATCTCAGCCAAATCCAGGATTGCCTTCAACACATCATCGAAGGGTTGCTTGCTCCTTTAGGGACAATCTACTTCGTCAAATATTTCAGATCTCTTTAACATCATTGAACCAACTGAAAAATGATGGTAATTTGCTAAGTTTATTCTATTCTTACATCTTATTTTGCTACCTGCTACCCTATTGCCTTTTATCATTTCTTTCATTTCATAAGGGACCTTACATCTGTATTATTTTATTCTATAGTTGCAAGCCGGTTGCAAGAATTGGCCCTTTCTCTTGCACTTAAATGCTTATCCTTTGATTTTGTTGGGACTTCAATTGATGAAAGTTCAGAAGAGTTTGAAACTGTTCAGGTGCATATGAAATACTTTTTGACAATATGCACTTCCTTTAAATTTTAGTTGCTTGAAAGTTTTTCAAACAATGTCTCTCTCTCTCTCTCTCTCTCTCTCTCTCTCTCTCTCTCTTTTTGGTTGCAAATAATGTGTTGGGAGCCTTACAGATTCCATCATCTTGGAGACCTTTGTTGGAGGATTCTTCTACACTTCAAATATTTTTTGACTATTATGTGATTACAAAGGCCCCACTTTCGAAGGAGGTTAGTTTTATTCTTTTAGCTGTTCTTTTTGTGTACTAAAGAACTGGGAGTTTATGGCTAAAGTACCTTCAGTAATGAACATGATGGGTTTTTCAAAATCAGCATAGTTGCTGAATGGAGGAAAGCATGTGACTCTTTTTAGTGTTGAAGAAGCCTTCCTCAATGGCACTTTATCTTTCTGTTTTGTGCAGCCTCTTAGAGGAAAAAGAAATACATAAAAACTGTAAATGATTCTGCAGAAAATTGCAAGTTAAATCAAGATTTGAATGATGTTATATTATTATTGTGGATAAATATATGATTCTTTTAAAGTGACATGTGCATAGGGAGGGTAATAGAGAATATTGATTGTAAGGTTGAAAGGAAACATTTTTTTTTTTTTAAGTTCTTGTAGTAGCATGTTTAGTTATTGGAAATGAAAGAATCTATACAAATCATAAAATACTAAATTTGAGCATATTGTAATTTTCTTCTTATGTACTCTTTATTGAATCTAGTAGCAGCTTTTTCTATGACTTACATTAGTTCTGTTGCTTCTGTCTTAAGTTTAATAATTATTTTTCTAACAAACAAACTAGATCAGTGGATCTGAAGAGGAGATTTCCTTGCTATTTGTAGGATAGTTTGATAACTGCCTTGATTTGTTTTTGCTTGTTATGGCATATGTCTTCAATGTATGAAGGAAAGATATTGTTCATCTATTGAAAGTTGCAGAGTATCTCCGTGCTGTCAGTTCATAAAGTTTGCTGGTTCAAACATCTTGTCTTAGGGATTTTATTTGCTTTCTTTCCAGGCACTGGAATGCTTGGTGAGATTAGCGTCTGTAAGGCGCTCTTTATTTACAAATGATGGTACCCGTTCCAAGTTTTTGGCTCATTTAATGACTGGAACCAAAGAAATTCTCCAAACAGGCCAAGGTTTTGTCTGCTAATGCATTGTTTATTACTTTATTTATTTATTTATTTTATGTTGATGTACTCTACTGATGCTTAGTTTCAACCAGAACCTATGAATTTTTTCTCTTGTTCTTTTTTCTTCTTTTTTTTTTTATATATATATATTTTTAATATTTCTAATGAGCTCATTTACTTTCCTTGCTTTATCTTTTCCTTTTAATTCCTGCTATTCATGACTTGTATCTGGGATTGAAATCAGGTCTTGCTGATCATGATAATTATCATGAGTACTGTCGGCTTCTTGGACGTTTTAGAGTGAATTGCCTGGTAATGTCTTTTTATTTTTTATTTTTTTTTTCCCTGGAATCATCTTTTTCATTTTAATCATAACAGCTTGCCATGGTATCCAATTGGTTTTTTCATTTTATACATTGCTTACTTTATGTGGCTGGTTATTTAGTTAACTGCATGTCAAATAGAAGATAATCAATTCTAATCAATAATACTTTAGCAATACTAATTGGAGTTGACTTTAGATATAGTCTTTGCCTAAATTTTTTCTTGTTTTGATTTCTTCTGGTTTTATTACTGCCATGAATTTCAAATTCCAATTACATGGATTGTTGGAAGTCCATACATTCACCTGCAGGGTAGGGTTTTATTTAGTTATTTGTTTATTATTGTTATAATCTCATCCTATGAGTTTTAAGGCATGCAATTCAGGGAAATGCTAAAAAAACATAATCTCTTCTTAGTAGCACTTTTTTTTATTGAACTTTATATTTTTTCTTAATTATCTTGGGTTGCAATTATGACAATAAATGTTCATGTTCATTCAGTTTTTAAAATTGTTGACAGTTGTCAGAACTTGTGAATGTGGAAGGCTATAGTGATTGGATACAATTGGTGGCTGAGTTCACATTGAAGTCTTTGCAATCCTGGCAGGTTGAATAGTGTTTATGTTATGTTAAAGTCTTTCCATCTTTTTTTCTTTTTCTCTTTATTGGTAAGCATTCAATATTTTATTTCTTTTCAAAAATAATGCACGAACATGACTAGTTTTGATGTAACAGAGGTTCCTGACACCTGAAAACCACTTCTTATAGAATCTTGTTAGCTTATTTGTATATAGGTTGTTTGACAACATTAAAAACTTATGTTTAATTCTCCTTACCAGTGGGCCAGCAGCAGTGTATACTACCTCTTAGGGTTGTGGTCCCGATTGGTGACTTCTGTTCCATATTTAAAGGGTGATGCACCAAGTTTGCTGGATGAGTTTGTGCCTAAGATCACTGAGGGGTTTATCACGTCAAGGTTCAACTCTGTGCAGGTATGATATTTCATTCCAAAATTATGCTGTGAAAAGCTTATCAAAAGAGAAAGAAGGAAAAGAGCATAAGGGCAAATTCCTCTGGGAATGATAAATATAATTGGGATAAAAAACTTTTTCAATTCTCTTTATTTATTGTAGGCTGGGTTCCCAGATGATCCTTCTGAAAATCCATTGGACAATGTTGAGCTCCTTCAGGATCAGCTGGATTGCTTTCCTCACCTTTGTAGATTCCAGGTTTGGTAGCTTCTTCCTCTTGTTACCTTTGCAGCTTGAATATAGTCTGGATTTTTTTATTCCCTTAGATGTTCGATTTGCAATATGATGATCGTCATTTCTCTTCTTGATTCTTTTGTTTCCTTAAATTGCAGTATGAAAGCAGTGGTTTCTATATAATTAATATAATGGAGCCAATTCTGCAATCATACACAGTATGGGCTACCTTCGCTGATGTCTCTTCTTATATATTTTAATACATGGCGGACATTTTCTCACTATGATTTAATTGTAATGAATGCTTTCTATTACCCAATGCAGGAAATAGTGCGATTGCAGACCTTTGCTAATAGTGAACTCTCTATCATTGAAGCTAAACTTACTTGGATTGTTCATATCATTGCTGTCATTCTCAAAATAAAACAATCTACTGGTTGTAGGTAAAATTCTATTTTCTCACCCCCTTCTCACTCATTGTATTTCCTCCTTTGAGTTCCATGGAAGAAGTTACAATCCATTTATTGCACTTCTTTCTTGCAGTGTGGAGGCACAAGAAGTGCTTGATGCAGAACTCTCAGCTCGTGTTTTGCAATTAATAAACATCACTGATAGTGGACTACATAGTCAGGTATAGAAGCAGCATGGACTTGTTTTTCTATAAATCATCTTCAACTATTTGCTTATGGTTGTTCTTTCCCCATTTGTGCTTCTTATGGTAGAATTATTCTTAATTACTTATTATATTCTTTTTCATAACAATGCACCATTATTGTATTGGATGATAAACTACTTTCTGGTTGGCATTTGGCAGAGGTATGGTGAATTAAGTAAGCAAAGACTTGATCGAGCAATTCTCATCTTCTTTCAGCATTTTCGAAGGTCTTATGTTGGGGATCAGGCCGTGCATTCATCTAAGGTAAATAAATTCATTTTTATTTTAAAATCAAGTTGTAAAGATGCTACTTGACGCTCCCCCTCCCTGTTGCAGCAGTTATATGCCCGTTTATCTGAGTTGCTTGGACTCCATGATCATCTATTACTACTAAATGTAATAGTTGGGAAGATTGCCACAAACCTAAAGTGCTATACAGAGGTGATTGCCTTATTCTTCTCTTTCTGATTTTTTGTTTCCCTGAAACAAAGTAGATGTTTTAGCTTGACTGGTGCTAATTTCAGAGTGAGGAGGTCATTGATCATACATTAAGTTTGTTCTTGGAGCTGGCGTCAGGGTAGGTTTTTCTTAGTATTTGGCTTAAATAATCAAATCTCTTTATTGTGTTGTATTGTAAAGTCACAACCCCCTTATTGCAATATCGCTTCATATCTGTTTGCAGATACATGACTGGAAAGCTGCTTCTGAAGCTGGATACTGTTAAATTTATGATAGCAAATCACACTGTAATTCCTCTGGAAACATAAATGGCTCATTAATTGTTTTGATTTGTTTTACTGAAGTTTTCTTAAATTCTGAATGACAAGAAATTTTAATTTCAGAGGGAGCATTTTTGTTTTCTAGAGGAAGATAGATGCTCTCGCAGCAGAACAACTTTCTATTACACTATTGGCTGGTTAATTTTTATGGAGGATAGCCCTTTGAAATTTAGGTCTTCAATGCAACCACTTTTGCAAGTAAAGTTTCTCTCTCTCTCACACACATGCACACACAAATCACAGCCATTCACATTGGTGGTAGGCATGGTTATGCTTTTGTATCTTCATGTTGTGTCAAAGAAAAGTGCTGTCAAATAACATGAAATTGATTGTCCATAACTCCTGGCCGTTCAAAAAAAAAAAAAAAATCATCCATAATTCCTGCTTGTGCTTGTGCGTGTACTTGTACTGTTATTAATAACATCCCCGCCATTTTTGTTATCATTGTTATTGTTAGTATATTATTAGATGTGCATTAATGTCTTCCTCTTCTTTTTTCTTGCCCCCAATTAGAGACATGTTTTTTTTGTTACTATCTGTTGGCTATGATTTGATTCCTTGAAGTTATGTTGCTTCAGGTGTTTCTCAGCCTGGAGTCAACACTGGATTCAATGTTTCGTGCTGACACTGTAAAGTATGCATTGGTTGGATTAATGAGGGATCTCAGAGGTATAGCAATGGCCACAAGCAGGTTAGTCTTAGTCAAGCTTGTACAATTCTTGAATGCTGGCTACATTTAATTGTTGACAAATGTTTGAATAATTTCCTTTTTTATTCAAAAAAATAATTTCCTTTTCTTTTCTTGATTTCCTTTAGCCGTAAATCATATGGTTTACTCTTTGATTGGCTGTATCCTGCTCATATGCCACTTCTCTTGAAAGGCATTACACATTGGACTGACACACCAGAGGTATGGTTTCCAATTTAGCATGTCTTATTTATTCTCTTTCAAATTGAATCCTTTCATCTAGTCTGCCATGTTATATAAAGTATCAAATTGTTGGCCCCCGTGTGTTCTTTCAGCCACAAGTCATCAGTACTTAGGATGCCTTAGCCTGATGGCTTTTCTATTCTGGGCATCTTGTTTTTCTCTAGTTGTTACAAATTCCAAACTTCTTATTCATTAGAACATCTTGGATTATTCATCTCAACACTCTCTGGATGTTTTATGTTATACTATTACTGTTAAGAGTAACCAGCATTCAAAGCACTGTCCGTATTGTGGTCATCATGATATTTTCCCTTTTACTAGAGTTTGATAGGCTCTGTTGCAATTAGTTATGTTCAGTTTGACTGAATTCATTATTTTGAGAACTATACTTGTTTTCCATAATAACTGGGAAGCCATTTTTTCTTCTTCCTTGCTTAATCAGCCGTTCTAGTGTCTACACCATTTTTTTTATCAATCTATTGTCTACATCATTTGATCTCCTTGTGGGTTAGAGAATTAGAAAATTTTGGCTAAGGAGCTTGTAAATGGTCTTGCATTCATTCTGTTTTATTTACATGTGCATGTTGCTGCCCTAGTGTTAGCAAATAAAGTCTAATTGCTGGAAACTTTGATTGTTTGACTTAATGGACAGGTTACCACCCCCTTGTTGAAATTCATGGCTGAGTTTGTGTTGAATAAAGCTCAACGGTTGACTTTCGACTCATCTTCTCCAAATGGAATTCTTCTTTTCCGAGAAGTTAGTAAATTACTTGTTGCATATGGAACAAGGATCTTATCTCTTCCAAATCCTGCTGATATCTATGCCTACAAGTATAAGGGCATTTGGATTTCACTTACAATTCTCACAAGAGGTTAGACTTCTAACTTGCTTGGGCTATTCTTAACAGGTGCATGCAATGAAATAGTTTCTTTAGTTCTATTATTGACTCCCAACCCCATTTCTTACAAGTATGAACTTTGGAATACCTAATTTTCCATGGAATAACAATAACAATAACAATAAGTTTCCCAACTCTATCCAACCAGGAACCTCTGGTAGTGACTCTTACCTTTAACTTTTCTACTTGAGTTTCTCATATATGCATTAACCTCTTTGTTCTTTAGGCTGATATTGAAATGGAAAGTTGGTGAACATGATTCAATTTCACTGTTTAAAATATGTTTGAGGATGACCTTTTCAAATAATAATAGATTACAATAAAAAAAGTTGAAAAAAATGCCTTTGTTGCAGTATCTCCTACCCATCCTGTAGGGATGACCAAAGAAAAAGAAAAGCCCATCCTGTATGCAGTAAAACCTCAAATGCTAGATATTTTGGACAAATATTCTTTTCTTATTAGAACCCTTTCTCATTTTAATTATTTTGTTCTTTAATTTCAGTGTTCTTTGTTAGATAACCTTTCCAGAACTCCCCTGGAGCTTTCTATAGTCTTTTCAATCACTACTTTACAATTAAAGCAGGATAAGTGTTGAAACTGTCAACTTCTTTCTTAGAAATAACATTTTTTAAACACCAAGATGCATCAGTCATTTGCCTAAGATATTAGATAGCTTGTATTCAACATTTGCTTGGTGTGATTTTAGACATTTACCAAGCAAGCAGGTTTTCTGAGATATATATCAGTAGTTGACATAATTGTGTTTCAACCAAATGACAGCTCTTGCGGGAAATTATGTCAACTTTGGTGTGTTTGAACTGTATGGTGATAGAGCACTATCTGATGCACTTGACATTGCCCTAAAAATGACATTGTCCATTCCTTTAGCTGATGTATTGGCATTTCAGAAGGTAATTATCATCGTTCAGCTGCTTGTTTTTCTCTGGGTTTATCTTTTTAATTTTTGGAGCTAGAGTAAGCAATACAATAGACTTAAAAATAAACAATAAATCTCTAGTTACTTCTGTTAGTGCTTGATCTTACATTACTTGACTTTAGCATCAAATATCTTGGACATTTCTTCTAAGCTGGAGTCAGTTAGAAGTGTTTGGTTGACAATATCTTATATAGCTGACCTTGTTGGTTGTGTTGACAATATCAGATGCTTTCCTATATTTTTTACAGTTAACGAAGGCATACTTCTCATTCTTGGAGGTTCTGTTCAGTAATCACATGAGTTTTATATTGAATTTAGATACAGCCACATTTACGCATATTGTTGGTTCACTTGAATCTGCTCTTAAAGGTCTGGATTCAAATATTTCATCACAGGTATGCACCAGACTGACTATTTTCATATTGCTATCTCTTGCCTTCCATTATCCTGTGTTTGAACTTTCTGCATTTTGGATCTATATGTGATCATATTCGATGCTGCCCATCTCCTTCTCTTCCTCCGCCCCCAACCAGACACCTTTAATCTCAATATTTCGAACATTTCATTTCAGTGTGCATCTGCAGTGGATAATCTGGCTGCTTTCTACTTCAACAACATTACTATGGGGGAGGCACCCACTTCACCAGCTGCCATCAATCTTGCTCGGCATATTGCAGATTGTCCTACTTTGTTCCCCCAAGTAAGTGATGAATGCTCTTGGAGTACTACACAATACTGGCCGCTAATTAGTACGTAAATGATAGACCTTAGGGTCTTACCCAATAGTTGATGGTGTGATTACATATCAATCATAGGTGAACAGAGCCTCAGCCCACAGGCCTTGTGGTAAAAGGACAGGCTAGGGTCTTGGCAGTTCATCTTCAAATTTCCCTACTCTCTCTCATACACTGTTTTCTTTTCATTAGATATTGTAAAGAATTTGATGATGGGAATGAAGGTGTTTTTACTTGTTTTATCCATAGCTCAATTATTGAATTTCATGTTTCATTTATTTTTTCTCCCATTTTTGGTGGAAATTAAATAACTTTTTTATTCTGTTTTATTTGCAGATATTGAAAACCCTAGTTGAGCTAGTTTTATTTGAGGAATGTAGCAACCAGTGGAGTCTTAGCAGACCTATTTTGAGCTTAATTCTTATTAGTGAGCAGGTAATAGTTTATTGACTCTATACTAATGTTCTCTGCTAATTTTTTTTCAAGTTGTTGCGGTGTTTTTAATTATTTTCTTGGGTGATTTGTTTGACTATGATTTTGATTTGCACCATGCATATTTACATTTCACATTCTTCATGAACATTTTCACTAAGCTATGTGGTAATATGGTAACATTCAATAGAAAATGAACTGTATTAGTTAGATCCTTATTTAATTTTCTTTCTTGGACCCTTATTTCTGTCCATTAACCTTGCATCATTGTGGCAAAAAGAAAGGCCTACAAAAACAATGTCATTGAAAAGGTAAAGACAAACAGTAGCATCAAGCCATCATCTCTCAGAATTCCTGCAGCTAGGCCAAATTATTATTCTTTTAGTTGCTTTACCTTACAGACCAACCAAAAAAGTTTCTTTACCTTCAATCCATGAATCTGTTCTGTTGGCTAGAAAAAACATTAAGTCCCTGAAAATAAATTTTGTTTCTAGTTAAGTGTCTGATCTTAATATATGGCTCATGTTAAACGGTTATAGATTAAGATGTGAGGTTAGTTCTAGTTGAATTTGATTTTAGAATTCAAGTGTGCTATGTCTTTTTCATGTGGAGGAACAAATCTTGAGACAACTGAAGATTTCAAACAATAATATGATTATTAACTCAAAAGGAAATCTTTGTTCTCTATCCTACTAGTTGCCTAGTGAACTCCCACCCAGGTAAAGCCCTGCAAAGGATACCTTCTATTACATGCCTACTTGGGTCTTTTTGCCGAACTAATAGTGGCTTATTTCTTATTGAGCTTAATCTTTCTTATCTGTTTAGGGTCTGCTATTTTCTTTGTTTCTGGCTAACAAATAACATTGACCTGCAGATATTTACTGACCTGAAAGCTCAAATTTTGGCTTCACAGGTGAGGTTTCCTTGGATGATGTTGTGTTTGTTTTTTGTTTGATAGTTGTAACAACAAACTATTTTTATTTATTTATTTATTCATTCATTCATTCATTATTATTATTATTATTATTATTATGATTATTTTCCCTTTTGTGTGCATGAAATAGCATTCCCATTTTCTTTGTTTTGGGTTGGCAAGATTACTTTCTAATTCTTACTGTTAGCCAGGGTTATATTGTGTTCTAGAATAAGAACCAGCAGCTATATGGAGGAACACCGTTGTAGATTCTAGGTGATTTACCAAGCTGGCATTTAAAATCATACCTGTTAAGTGGGAAATCCCTCATTGATCCATTAAGGGGAAACCTGTCATAGCCCATATCACATCGATCCATTAAGGGAAGACCTGTGAACTTGTATGTAATTTGGGCCACTCTACCTGTTGAATATTGGGTTTAGATTGGACTCTAGTGAGTGAAGTGTTTTGCTAAGGTACTCTTTAGCTTTGGGCAAAGATGCTGACAAATATATGATGGATTTGGATAATCCCTTTGGGATGTTGCCCCTCCCTTAACCTCTGGTCATGCTTGTATAAGATAACTAAAGAAATCAGATATGTAGTAATAGAAGATTAAATTCGGTGATCGTTCTAGTTTAGGACTAAGGTGCCATCTCACTTCCTTCCCCACCCCCACCCCCCAGGTCATTCTTCCCCCTTTTTTGGATAAAAGGTAAATTTATTTATCCAGAAATACTGAGTACAATAAAGCAGCACATGAGCAGATGAGCTGCTACAAGGGGAAAAGAAACTGATAAAATATACATATAACTGGTGTACAAGAAATTAAGCTTTCACCCTCAAAGCCCCACTGCATTGCAGTAGCCATGGGTAAAGAAGAGGACCCTGGTGGAGCAAACCCCAGTATCCTGATCCTAACATCAAACTGAATCTCACAAATGATATCAGTCTTACTTCTGGAAAACCTGCTGGTGGACCTGTCATTTCTTTCTTTCCTTTGTACTCGAATGTTATTCTCCTTTTCCATTTTGGTATTGAATGTTATTCTAATTTAACTCACATGCATCATTTTACAGCCAGCAGATCAACAGCAACGTTTGGCTGCTTGTTTCGACAAATTAATGGCTGATGTTACCCGAAGCTTAGATTCAAAGAACAGAGATAAGTTCACCCAGAATTTGACTGTTTTCAGGCATGAATTCCGTGTCAAATAGCCGAAATCCCTTTGGAGATTGGGTATCACAGGCAAATTTTGTGTGCAAATGATGCTCGCTTGGTTAATCTCCCACTCTTTTGAATTATAAACTGGATCTCATGATTGCCGGGGACGAGCATCTTTTTTGCTGCTGTGTTGGTTTTGTTGCCCAACTGAAGAAAAAAATACCATTGTTTATGTTTCTCGGCAGCCGGGGAAATGTTGTGTTTTTAACGGGATGGAAAGATGTAAATCTTTTTGTTGGGTACGGACAATTCACAGTGGGTGGATTGATTCTTTTTTGCCACAGAAGGACGTAAATATTTAGGTGGCTTGTGGTAGAGATGGTTTCTCTATTGGTAGGAGGGGAGGAAAATAGTTTGTGAAGTTGATGCTTTGTACATTAATCTCAACATATTCTTTATATTTGTTGATGGTATAGGGAAGAATGAAAATTCATTTGATTGTTCTTCTTACAACCGTTCTCTAGTCGAGTTTTGCCACTATCTATTTGCACTTTTGGCTCTTTGGGATTTTTATTCATGTCATGAATTAGTTGTAATGTCAGGAGAGTGGTGCAAATCTTGTTTTTTTTTTTTTTTGTTGTTGTTGGCCTTAACCTCTTGATATTAGGTAATTACATTAGATTTCTATTAATTTGAAATCGAACTGCGTCGGATCTCATTAAGAGAAGTTCTCTTAGCATTTGTTTTTTTATTTACGAGATTCAAACTCGAGATTTTATTTAACAAAAATTGAGTTCTTTTCAATTAAATTAACAAATCGATTATGCAAGTGCGAATTTATTACCAAGTAATTGTACTGATTTGATATCACATGCTTATGTATAGAAATTTCAAAGTAGTTAATTTTGAGATAACTAGAAAAAAGAGATGAGATAAAATTTAACCATGAGTATCAAATATGCATCGGATGAAAAGAATCATGCCCCAAAAGGTCACTCAATTAGTTAAGAATTGGTGATTTTAGTTGTTAGGAGGAGAAGGATTTAAGAGAAGAATATGATTATCGTTCATATGTAGTTTATTATTTAATGAATTAAAAAAAAATCAAATGTTCTATTATTAAAAATATTAATATGTCTAATAATAATTATATACTGAATTTAATAAAATTATGATTTACATGTATTTATTAATTGTAATTGAATATTTTGATATTTTTAATATTAAACTATCTTAATTTTTTTTTCAAAACAATTAAATACAAAAAAAACCACTATTTAACATTGGATGGTCAATAAATAAAAAGTCTTTTTTTTTAATAAATACCAACAAATTACACCTTAAAATAAAAAAAAGGTGCATTAGATTACACTTGTAGTTTATTTGATAAAAAATAACAATTTTATAATTTATATTGTACAAATTATATATTTTATAATAATCATTAATAGAAGATATACTATTCCTCAACAATATATAATGCAAACTGCACATTATACTTCATAATCATTAGCCTTGTTTATTAGTTTACTATAAATAGATCTGCATACTTCTAAATGTTATAAATGATTATAAAAATATTTATATACATAACTCCAACATGTAAAAAGAAGATTCGGTAGTGAGTTTTTGAACAATTTGGAAGTGACTTTCACCTCCCTCTTTCGAATAAGTAGGAAAATTAGGGGTTTCCACTTTCCATATATAAATAAACGGTTTTTTAATTTCTACAGAAATGATAAATATTAATTTTAAATTAATTAATTAATTAAATTAAAATATTCACGTATCTTAAAATGTATTTTAAAATAAATTAACATTTATAATTTTTATAATTTTTTACGCACCAACAAACTAAGTACGAAATTAGAAATACTACCTAAGCGATCTCGACATTTCGCGTACAATTCACGGGAACTCTCTTTTTCTCTCGCGCAACGCGAATTTTCTCGGCAACCAAACAGTAAATTGTCGTCGAATTCCGGTTTCTCCCTTCAAAATGGATCGTATTCACTTGTACCCAAGTTAAAATAATTACTGTGATAATTTCTAGGTATTTTCAGCTCTCATGATTTTCATTTATTTTGAGTTCTACTAGTGATTTTGTTCGTTTGTTTTGATTGATGAGAAATAGAGGCTTTTGATGCAGGATATATAGATCGATAGATGACGCCGGTTTGCCCTTTTGTCAAAGCGGCGCGTCCAGATGACGCGCAATTGGCGAGGAAGCATGGGGCGGAACACGAGACGCAGGGGGGGAAGGACTCCGGCGACACTGCCACCATCTCCCCTAAGTGCCCTTTTGGATATGATTCCCAAAGTTTTAAACTTGGACCCCTCAGTTGTATGATTTGCCAAGCTCTTCTCTTTGAAAGCAGCAAATGTTTGCCTTGTTCTCACGTATATTGCAAGTATGTTCTTTCGTTCTTTCTTCATTGAGACTTCTTCCTTTTCAACTGCTCTTGGCGTTAGTTTCTTGAGTAATTTTTCCCCTCCATTTTGGTGAAATGAAGAGCTTGTATATCGCGATTTAAGGACTGTCCGTTATGTGGAGCTGACATTGAGAAGATTGAAGCTGACACGAACCTTCAAAGTGTAGTTGATCGATTTATTGAAGGTCATGCTAGAATCAAGAGGTCCCATGTTGACACAAACAATGAGGAAGTTGTAAGCGATAATAAGAAAGTGATTTATGAAGATGTGTCAATGGAGAGAGGTGCTTTCTTGGTGCAGCAAGCTATGAGGGTAAGTTTGCTGTTTATCTCGTCGCAGTTGCTATTTTTAGTAAAGTTAAGGCTGGAGTTGCTGTTATGAGATGTTGTCTTTGGTTAGAAGTTGTTGTTTTGTGACGCTGTTTATTCTTGAACTCTATCAACTCTAATTTTGGATTGTGTAGGCATTACGTGCTCAGAATATAGAAAGTGCCAAATCTAGACTCAGTATTTGTGCTGAAGACATACGAGATCAATTGGAAAGCAAGGGCAACATGCCAGAGTTGTGCTCCCAGCTTGGGGCAGTTCTTGGTATGCTTGGAGACTGCTGGTACGTCCTCTTTATCTGTCTTTGTATAGACATATGCTGATATAACAACCTCTCTATGTTGCAGCTTGTTGACATCTATTTGTACGGTAAAATCTTTTTTAGTTGATCTTGAACTTGCCTCTTTATAAAGAGGATGAAATCACATATTAAGATGAAAATGGTAACTTATACTGTTTCAGTTATCAAAAACTGACTACTCTTTTGAAACAGCCAACATTCATAGGGATGCCTCATTTGTTATGCTCTATAATTGGACTTGTTGAAATGAAGACTTTCAGATATAAAATAGCGAGCTATTAGGACCATAAAGCATTAAATCCTACACCTTAGCAGAAACCTTTATATTGTAGCTGGTTTTACCTATAGCCAAGATTTTCTTAATAAACAAGCTCAACAAATATTTTAACTTCCTCATGGGAGCTGAACTACTTACTTTTTCTTTTCTGCTTGGCAAATTGATGATAACTGCTCATTTTCCATTTTAAGGCCATTTCAAGTGGTCAAAATTTGCTGCAAAATTCATTTCCTTTTAAACCATAATAAAAATGGAAATTCTAGAAATGGAGTATCATTTAAAAGTCTCAACAAGTCGGATTGAAAGTATAGAGGTAGTGAAAATGTTTAATGGTAATAGGTATGGCATCAAGTACAGAGGCTTTGTGATATCTGTTATATCCTTGATAAGATGTATAGCAGATGTATTTATTTGAGTAAATCAAAACCATCATGTTTTGTGCAGTCGAGCTGTGGGAGATGCTGCTGGTGCAATCAAGTATTTTGAAGAGAGTGTCGAATTTCTTACAAAATTGCCAACCGATGGTCTAGAGGTTATACCATCATGTACTTGATGGCATTGTTATTTCATGTTCTATTGAACCATTCCATCCTGATTGCATTGTTACTGAATTTCATACAGATTACACAAACACTATCTGTTTCGCTAAACAAAATTGGAGATCTTAAATATTATGATGGAGACCTTCAGGCTGCAAGATCTTACTATTTCCGCTCATTGGGTGTTCGTCGTGATGCTGTCAAGAGTTGCTCAGATGTTCCTTCCCAGGTTAGCAAAACACACACATGAACACACACACACACATTATCAGCATTTTGCTTTTGGCTGCTTCTACTGATTTGTTTAGAATTACAGTTTTCATTTATTTGTTTTGGTTTGGGGGGTTTACAGTTGAAATGCATTTCATTTTTTTTTTTTTTTTGGTACGTAGAGACTTTGGGTCTGAACCCTAAACCTGTGATTAAAAGTATAGATAACTCTACCACTGGACTCCATAGCTAATGGTTGAAATGGACTTCATGAATGAAGAAAGAACTCCTATATTCTTGAAGTTTAGAAGATTTGCATTTGTTAAATAGTAGTATTAAGTTTGGTTTCGTGTTTGCCCTGTTGTTTTTGCACTGCTGCAGATTCTGGATGTGGCAGTTTCCCTCGCTAAAGTTGCCGATGTTGATAGGAGTCTTGGAAATGAGAATGTGGCTGTTAATGGATTTCAGGAAGCCATAAATATGTTGGGATCATTAACACTGAAATCTGAAGAAGCTAGTCTTGAGCAACGGGTAAGATTTCCTTTACTGGCTTCTCCTTGTGCCAAATTTATTAACTTCATTTTATGGATTATGAATCCAGAAAAACTGATTCTTTGATGTTTCCAAACACAGCGTCTTTCAGTGCTTGAATTTCTCAAAAATCAACTTACAGATAAACAATCTGAACCAGCTCCATGAAGTCAGTCAAGTCTCTACTCTCTTATCAGAGTACATAGAGTCATAGATAAAAGAGGTACACCCTATTTCTGTACATATGTGAGCTCAAGTTTGTTTAGTAATAAGCCGAGGTCATCCCTGCCAGATTCTGGTGAATGTTTTCTGTACTCCCCGTGACACAACACAACAGTCAATTTGTTGTATGTCAAAACAAGTAGTACCTCCTTCAGTTGGAAAGAATTTAGGCTCCAGCTGTTATATTAAGAGCAGAAGCTGCTTTTAGTTCCTTTTACCAAAACTTATCTCACCACTGAGGGACAGTACTGAAATGTGAAAATCACTTGTAAATCATATTCTATATCTCTTGGCTGAATTCTAAGTGGCTATATCTCTATTTGGAATTGTTATTGCAGCTACTGCTATGATCGTGATATACAGGTTTACACCTAAAAATCTTAGTTATTAGAATTCATGCATAAGTAATTGCTTTCAAAGAATGAAAGGCTGTACACAACTCATAATATTCCATTCCCTCCTCAATCCATTCTCTCCTACCTAATGTAATGGTTATGAAGACATAATGAGTCAACAATAAGAAAGGGAAAGGTGGCCCTAAGGGAAGGTTCAACTTGTTGAAGATTTTAGGTTTGAATCTTAAGTTGGGTAAAGAGAGAATTGAAAAAGAGTTTTTTGTTTTACTGTTTAAATTGTATTAGATTTTAAAACAAGGGCTATTAGATAGGGTCTTCAATTTTAAGGAATCCACTTTCATTTGATAGTTATAGTTGTGCAATCTAATATAATTTAAATTGCATAACACTCAACTCATTATCAAATGTATAAAAAAAAAAAAAAAATTAAGCAAGGGCAATTTCAAGTGGTGAGGGATGTGAGAATACCTTCGCAGAAGGGGCTGGGCCGCTTCCATTTTTTTGGGGCAGGGGAAGGGGGGGTGGGAGAAGAACCTCGGGTCTTGCATAAAGCCCCATAGATAGGGAGTAGGAGATGAGAAGTGGAATCAACGGCGTGGATATGATTTGATTTGAAGGTGTGGGATCAACGGTATGGACCATGGAGCAGAGCGTGCAAGCAAAATGTCGCTACTGCCCCTTGTGGATAAAAAACTGAACAACCTTCTCATTTTGATTTGAAGGTGTGGGGTCAATAGCAATTATTAATTTGACCCTGCTTTCACTTGTCGTCCTTCAAAATCGTCTCGTAAATTCGTTCCACAGATCATTACTCGAGGTGAGGGGAGAGTGAAGAAACTACTCGAGGTGAGGGGAGAGTGAAGAAACGAAAGGACGATCTTGCGAAAATGACAAAAAAAACCCACTATTTTTGTGATTTAAGGGTTAAAATGTAAATTTACCTAAATTTACCTAATCTTGCATATATCTATACCAAACATGGAAATTGAAAATGGTCATTTCTTTTCATTTTCCACCGGAAATCAAATATTGTTACTCTCTATTCCTTTTCCCTTCCCTCCTAACTACAATTTGGTCGCTTTAGAAGTTAGAACAATCCTCCTGAAAAGGGGATATCTGTATCAGGCAACCAAGTATCTCCCATGGTGAAATTCAACACAGTAAAATTCACAGCCTGCGTAGCATCCATCAAGCTAAACCCCGGCCACTGCACTCTCTTGCTCGTATATGCCCCCGGCCCGTAATTCGCAAACTCCCCGTAATACAACGTGTCCAGTCCCTGCGTCCCGTTCCACTCCAGCCACCCTGCCGGATGGATCACTTCGCCGATATACGACTGCATGACCACCGTCCTCGAGTACGCCTTCCACGGCCGACCCAAGTAACTTGGTGTGGAGCTCAAGTTCACAGCCAAGTCAGGTGCAGCCTCGATCCTGCAGTTTTGGATTGAAATTCCGGTGTTCTGATTGGGGTCAGTTCTGCCCTGTGCCGTGAATGCGTTTTTCTGATCTGGAAGGGGCTTTCGAGCGTATAAGTTGCAGTTCTGGAACACTGCAGCAGCGTTTCCGAAGATGAAGTCGACCGTTCCATAGATGTCGCAGTCCCGGTAGAATTGGCGAAGGGAGTGGACGTACAGGGTGTCTTGATATCCTTCGAAACTGCAGCGGTAGAAGGTGGAGAAGTCGGCACTGTTCCTCACGGCCACTGCCTGGTGCTTCTCCGGCCCAGCTGTGTTCCTGAACGTAATATCAACCGCTACAAATCTCTCACCGGAAACAGCTGCAATATTGTTAAAAAAGATATATATCTAAAATTTTTATTACAAATATATAAAAGAAAAATTGATGCTAGCTCTTGCATGCATGCATACCAAAGGTTGAGGAATTGTAGGTGGTCCAATTATCGGCTCTATTATGACTTCCGGTAATGATAGTCTTATTGATCCCATCTCCGATGAGCAAAATGTTGTTCTTGTTCTTTGGCACCACAACGTACTCCTCGTAGTACCCTTGTCTAACATAAACAACGAAGTAACCATTGTCAGGCTTCAAATTTCTCGGTGCGATCGCAATGGCGTCGCTGATGTTCGTGAACGTGTCGGTGCCATTGGGGCTAACGTTAACAGTGTTGTTTATAAGAATTCCGTTGCCTTGTAATTCAGAAAGCGTCCTTTCGACAGTGTTACCCCGGCCGGATGACTTCCGAAGAGCCTGAACCAAATCAAAATTAATCTGGGTTAACTTTGTCTCTATTTTAGAAGTATTTTGTTTTCTTTTGGGATACATGCCACGTGGGTTTTATAAAAGGTTTTTTTTTTAAAGGCACAAAATAATACGAGATCTGTGTTTATCTATCTTACATTTAAAATATTAAAAAAAAAAGTAAAAATTACCTTAATGCATATTTTAAAAATAAGGTAATTTAATATTTTTTAATAAAAATTTATTGAAATGATATAATTTTAAAATGATTTTTTTCTTACTATAAGGTTGATAGGTACCTTTTTTTAATAATAATGTAATAAATATATTTATTTATAATT